AAATTGAAAAATAATGCACTAAATCGAAAACGCGAACACATTTTCGTTCTTATATTATTGATTAACATTGTGGCCAAGTTTGGGACGAATCGGATAAAACGCTCTGTCGTTAAACCCTTTTTTGTCGAGAAGATTGGGTAATTTTTTTTATCTTCAAACGAGGATTTAAGATTTGACCAGGTTTACACTCTTTCTGTCATTTTCTCCGCCCCCAATGTTAATCCACTTGTGACCTCGTGCGGTTAACCAATCACAAACAACCAAACTTTAATATTTTTTGGCAAGGTGTTTATCACATTTATCTTCATAGCCAATTCTAGTCTATAGACTACAAAACGTAAACGCAGTAGAAAAGTCAACGAAGCCGACATCGCGCATAGTTTGAACATCGAGAGATTCTGTAAATACTATATCATAAGCTTTCTAAAGTTGTCGCAATGATATATGACTCCGAGCAATAACAAACGGCTTATACTTTAGTGAATTTCACACCTTGATATTTGACGCCAGCAAAGTTCAATCATAATTACAAGTTTCGCGCGAAGCTATTCAGTGGTCATAGCAGTTCCCCCTATATCTCGGTCGCTTTTTAACATTTTCTTAAAAAAGTTGCGTTAAAGTCAACGTTAAAGGCGTGTAGGTGCTGTATTGTTTATACAACTATATACAGTATTGCAGGAGCTGAACACATTGTTTTTTTTAAAAATATTTTCGTTGTTTTTGGCCACTTTTGTTTTGTTGTGGTATAAAACAATTATTCACCTCAGTGTCGGTGAATAGTGCAAGGATATTTACCTCAACGCTTCGTGTTTCGATGAATATCCTTGCACTATTCGCCTTCACTTCGGTGAATAATTGTTAACTATTCAATAAATACCGCCCGCGATTATGTGGCGTGGAAGATAAAAAATATTTCAGTGTTTAGTGAAGTTATATATGCGTGTTATGCATATTTATGTTGGTGTAGATCCCCTGATGTGAAAAACAAGAAAGTTAGCGAAACACAAATGACGCAATCCCCCCCCCCCCCCCCCCTTGCGTGTTATATCGAGTGCAATGTAGTTTTAGAGACAAAACAAATAATATTTTCTAAAGGTTTGAATTTAAAATACAGTGGCGAGGGAAGCATATGTTCAAATGTTTCCAAACGCAACTGCTGTATTTAGTGTGAAGGGTGGCAACACTATATACCCACTTGTTGCAACAAGTTTCCAAATTATAGATCTATACATACAGTGGACTGCACACCAGTATTAATTCAATAGAACTAGACAGTCTTAAGTGTGATGATGTAAAATTGTAATATCCCTGCCTTTGGAATGTCATTTGTTAAAGTCTATATTATTTTCTTCCCAGGTTCAGTTTCTCTACCAAGAAATCTCTTAACAAAAGGCAGTATGGAGGAAATTCTTTCATCACAAAAAGCGATTGATGAAATTGTGGAAAAGTTGAGAAAGCAACAACCTGAACATCTCGAGCCAATGAATGATGGTGATATTGAGTATGTACCTGAAGTTATTGAGAATATCAATGTTGATCATCTCATCAAGAAATTGGGATGTGTAGGTTAGTAAATAATACTTCACAAGAAATGACTCGTGATTATCTAAATAAATGCAGACATTCACTTTCTTTCTCCGTAGCATCTCTATAGAATAGCAACCATTGCTTCGCCTGGCAGAGCATAACTCATCTGTGTTTACTGGTGGACAACTTGACCTGTGAAAACGAATAATTAATTAATTCGGTTTTGCTCTTAAAAAGCAGTGTTGGAAGACGAACTGAACAGTCATGTAAAACAAAATAAAGCATTTTGGCGAAAATATAGAAAAACACCAATATGCATAGAACGGTTACAAATCATTCGACTGACATGTGCTGATCCACAGTTTTCTGTATAACTTTCATTATAAGTTTTCATTTGGTATTTGAGGAGTTTTTGGCTCAACATAAAATTCTTACTGTTATTGCATTTCGCATTTTTTGCTGTCATCAAGAAAGATGCTAGAAAACCTGTTGCCAGGCACCTTTACACTCTGAGAGCTTTGGACTAACTTCCCAACAAAGAGTCTTGGCTCGAAACGCCGACGTTTTCCTTGTATTTTTCAGGTAGTTGTATCCCTACCAATCCGAAGCTTTCTTTTTGTATCTGCGAAGCAGATATATTGCTATCGCAAACGTACTGTTAACCGTACCGTATGTTAACACATAGCCATTCAGCGACGAGCTTATATATTTTAAACCATTTTATGCCAATTTAAGCCAATCAGCGATTCGTTTACATCAATTGTTTACATCGTGCCCGCTGATCTAACCTGCGAACGGGCATACTTTAGCCTCGTCAGGCCTCGTGTATAAATCGTGTTATTCTTTCAAAAACATCTTGATATTTTTATCAATTTATCTTATCTTTTTTTTTTCTGTGCTGGTGGTGTGTACTCAGGTGAATAATATGTTTGTGGTTACTCTGAGTGCATATCCACACCGGGCGAGCTTGAAAAATATGCCCGGCCAGGGTGGGATTCGAACCTACGACCTTTGGAATACTAGCCCAACGCTCTTCCAACTGAGCTACGCGGTCAGGACGGTTCGAGTAAGTGATATTTCGGAACAGAATCTAGTTCCTTCCATACCAATGTATTCTAGTAATATGAATTTTTTTCTGTGCTGATGGTGTGTACTCAGGTGAATAATATAGGACGGTTCGAGTAAGTGATATTTCAGAACAGAATCTAGTTCCTTCGATACCAATGTATTCTA